AAATATTTCTAAATTTATTCATTTACAATTTTATTTGTTTTAAAATTTTATTAGTTTGATTTGATATAACACTAATCTTGTTGTTGTCTTGGGGGACATCTGTGAAAAAAATTCAGGTGCTCAGGCACGAAAATGTGCCGCTCAAACACTATACTTTTCCGCCCACACTGAAAAAAAATTAGAGGGAACATTGAATGTGACCCCAGGACACTGCAACCATCATAAAGGTGAGTCAGCTATCAAGCACCCAAATATAAATCATGTGACCATGGGGATGCTGCAAGGGTCCTAAGTGTGAAAAATGGCCATAAGTCACTTTTTTCAGTATTGTTTAACTTTGAACAATCACCAAATAAACTGTTGTAAGTTGAGGACTACCTGTACAGGAAAGGCTGGCTTGGAAGAGATCCATCTGAAATTGTGGAGAATTCTTTCCATTCAGAGAGTGGATAATACTGAGCTAAGCGGACAAATGCTCTTATTGTGGATACGGGCAACCTCTTACTTTACTAAAAACAACCCGCCTAGAAAGGATGGAGGTGCATATACTGAATTTCAGATGATATTTGATACCAGAAGAATAAAATCATTAAAACCTTAGAGAAATGTTTTCCTGTACATTTTCTTTTAAGTCATGGCAGACACATTGTCAAAGTGGAAGACCTTAGAAACATTTCCTATATTAATTCCACAAAATAAAAGATAAATCGTATGTGCCATTTGGAGAGCCTTCATTAGGAGGTGCAAAGCACCTCAAGGCAAAAAGCAACAGAGGATCTGGTTTAGATTCTAATGGCTATTCACATGTGAAGTTTCACCTATCACTTGATATTTCAGTCTTTGGTTCCATCTTTACAAAATGAACTGCTAACTACAGTTGTGTTTTATATCATGTAGACTATATTAATAATATTTTGCCTGAATTATATTTGGAGGGTCTTTACCTTTTCTCTTCAGTCATCTTGAGAATGTCAGCTGAGGTTATATTCATGAAAACTGCAGCTGGAGCTTGAAGTGCCTCATATTCAGCAGGTGAAATGACTGGAGATACATTTAGGATGTTTTAGACAAATATTTCTTACTCATCAAGGCAACCTCAATATAAAGCAGAGGTTTTACACACTAGAGCCGTGTTGGCATGCACATGCTGGCCAGTTGACTTCGGCTTTCTTTTGAGGCCATTTTTCGCCCTCCATAGGCTTCCTTGAAAAACCAGCCTTACAGGCAAACTGGAAGTTCGGGAACAGACTTCCAGTTTGCTCATAGGGCCTGTTTTAGACCTCCAGTGCCTTCAGGGAAGCCCCCTGAAGGCTCTGGAGAATGAAAAATGGCCCTACAGACAAACCAGAAGTCACTTCTGGTTTGTTCGTAGGGTTGTTTTTTGCCCTCCGGAGCCTTCAGGGAAGCCTCCTGAAGGCTCCGGAGGGCTAAAACTGGCTCTACGAGCAAACAAGAAGTCTGTTCCTGAATTTCTACTTTGCCCATAGGACCGTTTTTTTGCACTCTGGAGGCTTCCGGGAAGCTCCTGAAGCCTTTAGAGGGCCTCTGGGGGGGGGGGAGGCTGTTTTCGCCCTCCCCAGGGTCCTATAAAACCTCTGGAGCCTGGGGAGGGCGAAAAAAGCATGCCAGAAATGGGGAGCACTGGGGTCACGCGCATAGCATTATGGGTGTAGCATGCCCGCACACGACCACCCTGCGCTCCCCTCGCTTTTGGCACACGAGCCAAAAAAGGTTCGCCATCACTGCACTAGAGGATTGAGGCTGGATGCTCTTAAGGATAAAAGAACAAACAGCTTCTGATTAAAAGGAGGGGGGAACCCTACTATTTGAATAGCCACAACTGATGACCATAACTTGAGTCCAGAGTTGTAAGTCATTGCAATTGTTAAGGTCATGACCGCACTTAATTTTATGAGTTGTGGCAGATGTTAAAAAAACACCACTGTCAATTAAATACAGCTGTTAAGAAAATATATTTTATCCAAAGGGCATAAAACAGGAAGTAAATGCCAGAACCAGTGGGGAAAAAAAGGCAACCATGTGACTGTGGGACAGAGCAAATGGCTGTAAAGGTGAGCTGGTTGCTAAGCGCCCAATATGCAATCATGTGACTGCAGAGTATATGTTTGCAGCCATTAGACCTTTGCAATTACATTGTATGTACCTTTTGGGGGTCCACCATAATTTCAAAAATCTGCTAGATGATGATCTGCTAAAGCTGCGTATTACCTGTGTTGAGATTGCCGTTCCCTTTGTTACATTAATCTGCATCAGAGCGCTTTCTGCTGGATTAATTAAAACATATTTTCCTCTATAGCACAGCAGAGCTTTGATATCAGCTGTTTCACTCATCGGGGCTGCAGTAGAACGTAGGTTTTGAGCTGTTTTCAAACCGGTTGAATCCCACCACTGGTTAGGGAAGATTGCTCAACTTGTTCTTAGTATCTCAGCAACATTTAAGATGATAACATACATTCAGTAGAGAAGGTTTTAGAATGAATGTATCACTGATGTAGCAACTATAGGAGAATACTATCAGGTCAGATTTTTTGGAAAGACAAGAAAATATCACCTTTCTTGTCCAGCTCTGCTCTGTGACTATGATAAAATTCTCTCTCCCTTTCTTGTGTAGGATAAGATTTTCCAAAGGCATTTATGAGTAAGGTAACAATTCTTAGCAATTGTTTCCTTTCCCTAACTGCTGCTCCAATGGTTTTTAGATACTCTTTAGATACAACATAATCACAATAGAACTCATGGTCTCTCTCTTCCATGTGCTCTTCAACAATGAGGGGCATACTTTTTCTTTAATAGTCATGTTAAGGGCCATTCTCTCAAACTTCATTCTGCTCATAAAGGATACTATCTTCAAATTTATAGACGTCCTCTGGAGTTTTAGCATCTTCATGGCAGGGAGGAAGAACCAAGGAGACATCAGCTTTCTCATCTTCTGCTGCATCATGAACCAATGCTTTGAAAACAAATAAAAAAGGAAATATTTTATTTATTTAACAGGATGTTTATTTGAAAAAAGTTAATCCACAATCATTAGAGTCTTTCTCAACTTTCTTTGTATGTGTTGGAAGATAGTTCCCATCATTTTTAGACTGCCTTACTGCACTGACATTCAGAAAACAGTTTAGAGAAAACTATTCCAATTAAAGAACTGAAACAAAGGTAAAGTAAAATAATATGAAATAACATGAATGTACAAGATGCTTACTAAACAACACCTAAGAATATTGGCAACATATTAGTTGGAAGAAAGTATGTAAATAAAAATTATAAATAAATAAAACTGTGCAAATGCTGTTCAGAAAGGGGAGAGGAAAGAATTTGGAGTTCTCCTAAAGAGTGAAAGAGAGAATGTCAGGTATAATTTTTCTGGAATGAAAATTCTGAAATGACAGTAAGGAATACAATATCTGCATATTATCAATTTCTATGCTTTGTTAGGTAATCACCAATGTTGGTTGGAGGACTCTAAAATGAGAGCTATAATCTAACACATGGAGAAACATCCCAGTTTGGAAAAGCACAGAAGAAAGTTAAATAAAGATATGCAATTCAGTCACTTATAAACTGAAGATACAAAGGATTTTATTGTCAGTATTTATCTTTGAAAATATGTGGTAGTTGCAGGGGTAGGATACCAGAATTTGAAGCATAATGAGGGAAAATCTAACCTGTAGTTTTAAAAGAACCAAAAAGAAATAGGAAATTGAAAGATGTTAAGATATTTTACATTGAATTACACTGGAATATATATTTTTTTAAAAAGTAAGCAGCAATATTGACCCATTTAACAAAAAATTAAAACAATAGTAGCAAATATCTGAAATGGTCAAGCAATATAAAGAATCTTTTAAACATTTGGAAAGGAGTCACATTGGTTCAAATAATGGAAAAAATATTTGCGGGCTGCACAGATGGGAATCATATGAAGGTAAATGACAGGACAGAGACCCTTTCTACATTTCATAATTATTTTTAGATGGATGAGACTCATTAGCATGCAACGTTGTCACTTTAAGATTATGCTCAAAATAAATTACATAACCAGCATTACATTAAAAAGAGAGATCTTAGATTGGCTTACAGCTCCAATTCTTTATTTCATGGCTCTTATACCTACCAGCAACACCTTTTGTTTCTATGACATCTTCTGCAGCTTTAATCACTGCTTTATTTAATACCTCCTTTCTGACTTCATTCATTCTCCGAGAATTCAAGGCTTTTCTCTGCTTGTTGGTTCCAAAGGCTTCAATGCAGAGATCTACCTGTAAAATGATCAAGAGATTGCTATATAAGCCACAAAGTGCTACTCCTACTGGATTCTCTTGCAGGTGAAATTCAGTTTTCAGGTAGCTAATAAGAACACAAAGTACTAACTATGTTGAGCCCTTTTCTGCCCATAACAAGAAGAACAATACTCCAAACCCACCTCCAAAGTTCATTTTGTGGGAAAGAAAACAGAACACATCAGTTGTCTTCTAAGTAATTGATTATCTTTTGAATTCAGTAACTTTTTAAAAGCTCTTTTTAACCATCATTTTATAGATAACAGAAATTTAACAGAAATTATAGAATGTATTATTATTTAATTGCAGCCCAATATCCTAGAAAGGTTTCATTTTGGGGATAAGATCCTATTTTCCAGTGAATGAGAAAAATCTCATTTTTCCTTTTACCATCACCATTATCATTTTACTATTACAGTTATCATTTGCATTGTTATTATTAACAATTTGGTCACCAAAAAACACAGGAGAAAAAGACAGTGTCAATAATTCAAAGTGCCAACATGAAAATAATATACTGTATTTTTCGTACTACAAGATGCTCCGGACCATAGTTTTTGGGAAGGAAAACATGAAAAAAAAATCTGCCTCTGCCTCCCAGTAATTTGCCTCCTTGCAGCAAACAGCCTGGTCAGCTTTAGCACAAGCAGCTGATTTAGCACAAGCAGCTGATTGGTGGTTGGATCGGCCTCCTGGAATACTGCCGATCAGCTGTTCCAAGCTGCAGAAATCGCCGCCACCCATCGCTGCCCGCCACCTCCACACACTCCATTTTCGGCCTCTGCACGTCCCGTTTTCAGCCTCCGTGTGCTGCCATTGCTGCCTGGAATGGGCCAAAAATGTGGGGTGTGGAGGTGATAGGCGGCAGGTAGTTCTCACTTAACAATGCTAATTGGAATCAGAAGTGCCACTGTTAAGAGACAAGGTTGTAAATTGAAAAATCATGTGACTGTACTGCTTAGCAATCATAGTTCCTATTAAGTGACACCTTCATGTGACCATCACTTTTGAATTCCTGATGGCTTCCCATTGACCCATTGTGGGAATCTGGCAGGAAAGGTCATAAATCCTGATCACATGAGAATGCTGTGCCAGCTACGGATATGATGACCAGTTGTAATCACCACTACCGTCATAAGTTTGAACAGTCAATGAACAAGTGGCAGTTAAATAAGCAGCACCTGTATAGAAATGTATGCTATGCTCCAAGATTGAGCAATGGTGTCCCATTAACTAGATTTCTTATTTAAGGGAATGAATCAAATGGAATGACCTCAGCATTGATTTAAACATTCAAACTATAAATGACCAATGAGGGGAGATGAAATATCAATAGAATTTAAAGACTGCGTTCAAGTTTCCATTTTTGAATTAGGCTGGACTGAAACCGTTATCACTGAAACCCTGAAATTAAGAATGGCAAGTGGGCCAAAATTCTAGCAAAGAGAAACTACAAGGAGAAATAGTCCAGAATAAGGTCATTTATTTAAAAAAATAGGGCTGAAAATTTACCCGAATGCTATTACCATTTAAATAGAAAATAAATAAATCAAAAGGCCTTTAAATACAGCAAATATATCAAAATAAATTTTCCAATCGTAGTATCCTAGTTGCTTGACATACCTTTTCTCTATAGGATTTAGCCAAATATTCTGACAGGTCATTATCTGCTACATCATCTGTTAAGAACAACATCAGAAGAAATAAAGTAAAAGTCAGACTCAACAAGACTCCTGGTCAATCCATTCATCCATCATGCCAATCAAACAGTATTAAAGCATTCTTGGAAAGATGATGTATTAGCTATCTATTATCAATACGTTCTTTTAAATTCTTCTGGTCAAGGATTATTTATCTATGCTTGGTAGAATGAGCTGAGTTAGTGCATGGCAGATAAATCTGATAACATCTTTTCAGTCACAAATGTTATTAGAAGCACGACCTTTCCTTCATCAAGCAAGATAATTCTCAAATCCTGACTAGGAGATAGGAACAAATTCAGAAAGAAAAAAAATCCATGCAGGACATCCTTCCAGGAAGTTACTATTTCCGAATGCAATTTGGGGATTAAAGTTTTAAAATGTTAAATATTCCTTTCAATAGAAAACTAGCATACTAGGAAAACTTGAACTGAAGTTTTCCTACTCTGTGGGTTGCTTTCTATAGATTGGAAGTATTTGGTACAGTAGACCACTTAATTCCATTTGTATTCTGAAAATCTACAACAGGTTTAGCACTGATGTGCTAATATTCTTGTTAAACGTTCAGGATAGTAAGCACTATGTCAGGGGTGTCAATCTCAAGGCCTGCGGGCTGGGGCCGGCCCATGATGTGGTTGAATCCAGCCTGCGGGACTGTCCTGGAAAATGTAAGGGGCCAGCATGGCTTCGGTCCGGTCTACTCAATGCAAAGAGGAAACATTGGGCTAGCATGGCTTCGGCCAGCTCTACCCAATACAAAGAGGAAACATGCCAGCAGTTTGGGGAGTGGCATAAAGCTCGCCACGCCCTCCCAGTCGGCCACACCCACCCACCAATCCTGACCGAGGACAACCACAGCCCTGATGTAGCCCCAATGAAAATGAGTTTGACACCCGTGCTCTATGTGAATCAATACAGGAAAATGTCTCCCAGGTCCTGCATAGGAAAAAAACAATATGAAAGAGTAAATGACTTTTATTGATTGTTTGATGGCTGTGTATAAAAAAGGGACACCATCTAGAAGTGCACTGGCTTGTGAACTGTCTTAAGTTATTTATACAAAAATTAAAGGGGGAGAAATAAGTAAATAAATTTTCTGACTCCAGGTAAGCTTGCCAACAATTAAAATTAGAAAAAAGAAACCGTGCTTTACCTACCTGAAATTAATGGCTGCAAGTTGAACAATTCTGCATTGTAGACCTCCATTTTCCCAGAAGGTTCATCTAAAACACCGACAAAATATCTAATGGAAGAGATGGTATTGAGTAGTTTTTCTTTCATTTTAGAAGCATTTAGAATGGCTAGTTTGGCTTCAGAAGTGTCAGAAATAGCATTTTCCAATAGAATGGTTTATTTAAAAAACCCATTACAACTCTCTTTATATCTTGGTATAATAGAGGATTGCCCATGTAGATGTGGGGAGACAAAGACGTAGAAGGGACAAAGAAATAAAATTACAAATTAGGCTCGGTTTGCAAAATATTGGATGTAGCACATCAGATTTTGCCACTTTAGCAATAAGAAGTAAATTCATTTGCATTTACTTCAGACCCTTCTCTTCCCTTCCATGTTACTTTAAAAAACATGTAAAATAGTACTTTAAAATTATTATGAAGTCTCTAAGATTACTTGAAGGCTGAACTGGATAGCAATTTAGCTCTCCTTTCCCCCAGTTTACTAAATCAACTCCACTACTGTAGCTCCATTAGAACCAAATATTATTCAACTCTTCCTAGATTTGTCATTTGCACTACAAATTCAAGAGTGTGGGGAGGGGGAGATGCCTTTGAGTCATCCCTGGCAACTGCCGGGACAAGTCCATTCAAATTTCTTGGCAAGATTTTGGAAGTACTTTTCTTCAGTGCTTCCTTTGTAGGGCTGAGAGAGAGTCTCAGGACCTAAGGTGAGATTAGAGTTCAAGATCTCCCCGTTTCTAGCCAGATGCCTTAACCACTAAGGAACATCAAAGTGATTCTTTATGTGACTTATACTTATTCTTTCCCCTCCTTTTACGTCCCCAACTTTCAGATTGTGCCATCCATAGTACAAACTACTACAGGTAGTCCTCAACTTATGACCACAATTAAGCCCAAAATTTATGTTGCTAAACGAAACATTTGTTAAGGGAGCTTTGCCTCATTTTACGACCGTTAATTTCATAGTTGTTTAGTGAACCACTGCTTAGTTGATGTTTAGTGAACAGTCGTTAAATTAGCAACATGAAGTGAATATGGTTTCCCCATTGACTTTGCTTGTCAAAGAAGACCACACGACCCCAAGACACTGCAACCGTCATAAATATGAATCAGTTGCCAAGCATCTGAATTTTGATCACGTGACCATGGAACTGCTGCAATGGTCATAAGTGTGAAAACAGCCATAAGCCACTTTTTTCAGTTGTAACTTTGAATAGTCACTAAATAAACGGTTGTAAGTTGAGGACTACCTGTATTTTAGACTGTTAACTTGACTGAATTGATTCAAACAGCATATACTGTACGTCTTACAAATAAAATTACAAAACCTAAAAAAAAGGAAGTAGACAAATACCATAAAAGAAAACAAAAGTACCATATTTTTTGGACTATAAGACACACCGGAGTATAAGATGCACCAAGATTTTGAAGAGGTAATTAAAAAAAAAAAAAAAAAAGCTTGTGTTCAAGCCTGCAAAGTGTTCCTGGAAGCTGGGGAGGGCAAAAACGCGACCTGTGGGGGGGTTTGGGAGCCACAAAAATGGGATCTGCATAGGGTTTGGGAGGCCTGTAGAGTGCTCCTTGGGGCTGAGGAGGGCAAAAACGAGCAAAAAAAGGGCGTGCAGAGAGTTTGGAAGGCCTGCAGAGTGCTCCTGGGAACTTGGAAGAGCAAAAACAGCCCAATTTCTGTGAAAAATGGGCATGCTTTCACTCGTTTTTGTCCTCCCTGTAGAGGAGCACTCTACAGGCCTCCCAAACCCTCTGCACATCTTATTTTCTGCCCAAGATGGACCCATTTTAGCAAAAAAAGGGCCCATTTTTCACTCATTTTTGTCCTCCCCAGCCCCCAGGGGAACTTTGCAGGCCTCCCAAACCCTCTGTGCTTCCAGTTTTGTGAAAAACGGAATCCATGGGGCGGAATTTTGGGAGGCCAAAAATGCTCTATTCAGTGTCTAAGACGCACCTAGATTTTCACCCTCTTTTGGGGGGAGGGGAAAAAGGTGCACCTTATACTCCGAAAAATATGGTATTTGTTCTATTCTGAACAAATACAAGCCTCACTGTAATATATTTTCAGACGTACATTGAAATGGGACATTTCAAGTCCCATCAATCTTCAAAACAGACTTATTTATCACTTTGAATCACTAATATCATATTATAACACTGGGAAGAAATCAAATTGTTACTCTGAAGCTATTAATGCTTGGCTAATTCTGACCTGCTAAAGAAAGCAAATACATTTGTACATATTTATATATAAATAAAATAAATTAATATTTGAAACATTCATGTGTTTTAGAGATACAGACACATTAATTATACCTGCAAAGATTATTGCATTTTAGGGCTCCTGCACCAAAGTTATTTCCTACGTAAGACAGCCGGTCTGTTTCTGCATTCTGAATGGAAACAAAAAAAAGCAATAAGCTATGGATGCTGGTTTTCTAGGTGAAGGCATTTTCCAAAAGGTTTTCCCACTTTATCCTAAGACATCCCAGGTATGAATTTATTGCAACAATATATAAATGAATGACAAGTAAGCAGTTCTATAGTCTCCTCTAATATTTCCCTCTTTTCCCAGTTAAATGTTTACTAAGCCCAGCTATATAAGTTGGTTTTACTGATTATACTCATTAAAAACTGCCCATTTTTTAAAATAACAATTATATCCTGAAAGCAGTGCAACCTATACATAAGCTCAAGCAGATAAACAAGGAAAATATAGAATTCTTTTCCTTGTCTATGATATTTTATTAATTACTTTTGACCCCAAGTCTAGGCAATTACAAATCTCTAAGCTTTTTATTTTGCTGTCATTTTTTGGTATTTTATATTATATACTAAAATTTTATATATCAACTGACTTTTGACACTGTATGTTTTAGGCAGACATTATTACATTTTAATTCTGTAAATTGAAAACAAATGCAATTTCCGCAAAAAGCTACCAGAGGTTTTCAATTCAAAAGTGAGAATTTGATAACAGCAATTATAACTTCATTACTGCACGATGGTAAATTGAGGCTAATGGCTTGTTTCTTCCATTACTTATTTAATATGCATGTACATACTAAGAACAATTTTCAGACTTAATACTCACATATGCAACTAACCCTTGTATGGCCAATAAATTATACCAAAACTACTAAGCAGTGAAAATACATGGACATGAACAGTTCTTATTTAATATATCTCAAACATGTATGCACTTTTAATGGTTCCAGTTGTACAGTTTCTTAAATTTTTGTGCTGAAGCAGCTAAAATTCTCAGACCCTAGACTTGGCTTTATACTGTAGTAGAATGACAAAAAGCAATTTGAAAAGATCTTCCATTCCTGGGATTTATAAAAGATAAACCTTCATTTGTGTGACATTAATTCCCCACAAAGCAGACACCTTAAATGGAAATTGGAATTATGGAAATTGGAAATATGAACTTCAAGAGACAGGAATCATTCCACTGCCTGATGATGAAGCTTTAAGTTTCATAAAGGGGGCACACTCTATTCAGCATGCATGCCATAAATGTAAACAGATCAACATATTTAAATGAACACAAAAACATGGAACAAGTTTGTATTTACCACAATTGTATAATTCTTCTTTCTGGGATTACTGATGTCTTTGTTTCTGTACAAAGTGAAATTCATATTTTCAGGATTCTTCAGTTTCCCATTTGTAAATTGAACTGAAATTGAACAGCAAGAAAATGAAAAACTCGAGGACTACCTGTACATCCATTGCCCTTGATCAAGAGCCCACCCCGCCTCCCGTTCCTCCTTACTGCCTCTGAACACTCAGTTCGAGGAATCGGAAACTTTTTTCCTAGCCTTTCGTATCATCCCCATCACGCTGCCCACGCTGCCTCTCCTGCAGGACGCCCGGCAGTGTAAACGCAAAGTATAATAAAGCTGAACAGAACAAGAGCCCTGAAGAACAACAACAACAACAATGCGACAGATGCCTCTTCTCCACGGGGAGTCTCACCTAGCGGAGCTCTCTGCCCTTCCTGGGGATCTCCCCGGTAGATCCACTCAACCTCCCCAGCCATGGAAGAAACACGCCGCTATTGCTACCGCAGCCACCAGATCCCCGGAAGAGGCGGGATCAGCTCCAAGGCCTAGCCACACCTCCTTTTCTGGCCACACCTCCTTTCCTGGGCACTCGCTCCTTTCAATTAAGCCTCGCTCGCCACCTACAGACGAGGAAGAGGATATGAGTAGCCGGGGAGAAGTGCTCCAGTTGCTCCTGGAAAGCAGAAAAACAAAGTTAAGGTTGAATTCAAAGTTAAGGTTGAATTTGATTGCTAGTAATTTCAGCAGGACGTCCCTGGAATTTTCTTGGCCACCAGATGACTTGTCCCATTGCCTCCTTCTACCACATATCTTTCTCTAATTAGAATATCTTCCTTTGTAGAAACGCGGCTTGATTTTTTTTCCCATACACAATCCAAGGAAGAGTTCTAGGAAACTGCTGCGAGTTCAATTTCCACTCTTTTTAGTTTTGTGGAGTAAGCTTTGTAACAGTCATTCTTTCTTCGGCTATTTCCTTAACTCAAAGAACATGATATTTTATTTCCTGGGACTGTTCGATTCCCCCCCCCCCCGTGACCAATGTTTTGGATTCAAGGGACTGCTTAAAACTGTGTGGGCAGTGTTCAGTGTTTGAGAAGTCAGTTACCTACCTGAAAAAGTTTTAATCCTCACTTAAGGTCTCATTTTACACAACCCAAGAGTCCTCTTGTTTTTATCCCTGGCTTTTAATAAGCTGAAGAACAAATTATGCAACATAAATAATGTAATAGGTGTGATTTCCCCCAAGTGTAGAAAAACACTTCGAACATTTTTTTATGCCAAAAAAATCCCAGTGAACTTCAACTGGAGAGATATGAAAAGTAATTTTTAGCAGACTGATCGGAAGAGAAAACCATTTAATTTTCAGGAGAGGTTTATTATCCGATGCATGCTTATCTATAGGATTAAGATTCATATATACAGGCAACAATGTTCTTTAATACCTTTGCTTTAATGCCTAATGCATTGGGTTTTATAAAATGCATTATGCGAAAGCACTTGGGGGAATTATTCTTCCTACATTTTCTCCTTCCAGTATATTCCCAATTTAGGAAAACACACGGAATGGTGCAGGTCTCTGGAATTTCTGGTTTAGTGCTAAGTCACTTATAGACTTTTCATCTGCAACTACCAAGAATCTTTTGTATGCAGCAATCTCGGCTTCTGCAATGGCCAAGGACCGAGCGCACGCCGAACGTCTCTCTCCGATTGTTGAAACTCCAGAGTCTACGGCGGGTTTTGCAAGCCGCGAGTGGGCGATCACTTGAGTGATGTCACTTCCGTCTGGAGTACCGCCACAGTTTGGGGAAAGGCGGAGACTGGCAGCGAATAAGTCCGCCCCCTAAGGAACGGAAGGAAGGACAAACGGACGCCACCGGAGTAGAGAACAACGGGTGCCCCTCCCTCCCGGAGATACGGAGTTCGGGACGGGAGGGGACGATCGTCGCCTTATTTTTTCCCAGCGCAGGTGAGGCCGTGAACACGATAGTTAAAGGGACGACCAAATATTGGGCGCGCGCTGAACTGCGATTGGGCAATGACATGCGAGTCTATGTAGGGCGCGCGCGAGGAAGGGGCGTGGCGGACGGCAGCGGGCGCGCTGCGCTGCGATTGGCTGCGAGGGGCGCATTAGGGGCAGTGGAAGGCGAGACGATGCGTGTGGCGGTTGGAGGGGGGCGGGGTGGGTGGGGGGGTGGTCTTCGTTGAGCTCTCGAGAGCGCGCGCTTCTTCGCCTTGGGCTTGAGCGGAGGAGCCGGTCGTGATCCGCGCGCGGAGGCATTCCGGCCGGGTGATTGGTGGAGGCGAAGAGGGGGGTGGGGAATCGGCCGCCTGATTCTTCCCAGTGCGGCCCGGTCTCCCTACTTGTCGTGGGGGGGGGGGCTTCAAGGGTGAGGTACGCATGCTCCTTGGTGGTCCGAGGGGGCGGTGTGAATCTCCTAGACGTTGACGAGGCTGTCAACGAAAAGAGAGCTCGAGGTTGCTGCTGCTGCCACCGCCACGCCCCCTTTCCCCCTTCCTGGGTTCCCGGCGAGGGCGGGGCATGGACTGGTGAGTGGCCTGAGGAGGGGCATCGCCGGGTTTGGAGCGCGGGCGGGAGGGGGCGTGTTCGCTTGCCGTCCACAGACCTTATGATGGGCCTGTTGCTTTGGGGGAGCCAGAGAGGGGCCTCCCCTGTTGACTCTGGTGCTCTGAAAGGGGTCACTCAGCTCTTGCCCCACTTGAAGAAACGGGTTTCCAAAGGGCGCTGCTTTGCTCGGCCGGTTGGAAACTTCTATTCTTCTTTGGGGTGTGTGGGTGAATTTTGGTCTTGACTCCTATCTTTCAAATTCCTATTTTGGTTGCTAAGTTTAACTTGGTTTGGACCTTTTTTCTTTTCTGTGGTAGGAAAAAGTCCAGATACTTGAAAGATGAACTTGAGTATCTTTTTAAAAAAATCTTGTAACTCTAAGGCAGTTCTTCCTATAGGAACCTATCCAACAGTAGAGATTAATTTCCTTGGTATCCTGGATTGAAAGGTGAATATATTTGACAGGATTTTTTTTTTAATTGGGACTTTCAGAATAAATATATAGGTTAACATTTTTAGTTATTTTAAATGTTGCGGGTTAGATTCACTATGGTCATATTTTCTGAGGAAGTTCTGTTGTCTCCCCCCCCCCCAGCTTCCTTGTCTTCAAATCTGCTCTGAATGACCCCTTAGTCCCCCAAGACAAGTTTAGAAGACTTGTTGGGAGCTGGGAAGGGGGGGGGGGGTGATGTATGCCGGTGAACAGGTTTCTTACATGTTATCTCTTACTAAGGTAGGAATATAAACAGAATGTATGGCATTCGTTAGATGGTGTTAATTAAATGTTTGTTTTGAGATTTGATTTGGTTCTATGTAAAAATACCAACAGGTCAGTCTAGTTCAGAATAATTATCAGTTACAGTTTTGGATATTCAAATTAATTTTCTTGTTTAGATAACTTCTCACTCAGATCTCATATTTGTGAAAGATAGAAAATGAGGGGTGTAAATGATGCTACTGTTCCCATGGCCACAGTTTTTGTCTAACAAAATTCTAAAACATAGTTTAGAAGTTTCGATATCTGCCACTTTTTAGTTGGTAACCTGCATGGCGCTAAGCAGCTTGTTGTAATATCCCTAAGTACCAGAGATAACTGAAAGGAATGTTAAATCTGTTAGTTAATACTTGTGTTTTTTTTAAAAATGTACTGACCAACTGCTATTAAGGTTGGTCATACAAAAAAGCACTCTGCATTATTCTTAAGTGGTTCATTTCTCTCTCTGCTACATTCATATTATAATTAGATAGAAATAACATTAGGGATGCAGTCACTCAGTGGCTAAGACACTGAGCTTCTCGATCAGAAAGGTTGACAGTTCAGTGGTTCAAATCCCTAGTGCCACATAACGGAGTGAGCTCCTGTTACTTGTCCAACAGAACTTCTGCCAACCTAGCAGTTTGAAAGCATGTGAAAATGCAGGTAGAAAAATAGGAACCATCTTTGGTGGGAAGGTAACAGTATTCCGTACACCTTTGGTGTTTAGTCATGCTGGCCACATGACCACGGAGACATCTTTGGACAGCACTGGCTCTTCGGCTTTGTAAAGGAGATGAACACCGCCCCTTAAAGTTGGGAACGACTAGCACATATGTGCGAGGGGAACCTTTACCTTTACCTTTTGTAACCTAGAAAGTAAAGTGACAGGGAAATAAACAGCCTTCTGTTAGATTAGCCTATTGGTCTGTATAATTATATTAGACCAATGTTATCTATACAAATGGACAACATTTGTTTGGAGTTTCAGATAGAAATCATCTTCCTATCTTCATGTGCTTGTGATTATACCTGGGATCTTTCTACATACTGCAGTGTTCTACCATAACATTTCTGTTCTTTCTTAATTATGTATCTTTTTTATTTAAAGAGTTAGAAATCCACAAAACACCCATGCTTTTATAGTAGCTGAAGATGTAATTTTATCTTTGAATTTTGAATTCTATTCCCTCAGAATAATAATGTATAATAAAAAACAAGTTTATATTAATTTTGAAAAATAAGCTTCAGTAGGATTTCTATATGCTAATAAATTGGTTTTTTTGTGGGATAAAAGTATGTTTTGGGAGGTTGCTTTTACTATATTTAGGCAAATGCAATTAAATAGTTTCCACTGTTAGTACATACTTGTTAGTACTGAGATCAAAATAGAGTAATAATTATACATAGCACATGATTAGAACCACTTGTCCATGAAGATATAGTTTTGTAAACCTTTGAAACTGTTGAATTGTTAATGAAATAAATTAAAACATACACTTGGAAGGGAAGTTAGAGGTGACTAAATAGGACCATGAAACCATAATTACTTACTCCTTATGCTGTTTTGTGTTAGAGCTGTAACGTCAAACTCAGATTGAAAACAATATTAGCCTATTCAAGAAAATGTGGACACCAGTCATATAACCATCCTAAATTATTATATCTCAAATAAACATTAAGACTGTATATAAGAAAAAGGACTGGTCCTATAATTGTGGCAGGTTGCTTATTAAATATTTATAGCATTTAGATAACATATTAGATAAATATGCAGTAGAAGCCAAAGGTGAGAAAATGTAACCATCTTCTTAGTCCTGAATATTGAATCTTTTTGCACAACCTCCCCCCAGAATAAAGCATTACAACAGCACAAGAACTTATGGTTGTATCAACTTTGCATTTATTGCCATCAGTGCCAATAGCACATGGGAAATAAGGACTGACATACTGTAGCAGAATATTTTGAAGTGGCTCTTGAAGATACCTGGCTGGTTATTGTTGGAAACAGGATTTTCATGTGTGAAAGAGTTCTATAATTAATTAAATATGGATTTAGCATGTTTATGATGCAAATCTATTTTATTTAAAATGTCATCAATGATATAATCTATTTAAAACAAATGCCTTTTTAAGAAACCCATCCTGATATGTGCAAGTCTACACATATAAGAGCAGGTTTCTTACGTAGGCTACCTTTATGCATCTTGTTAATTTGCCATA